GGTGGGAGGCCGGTACACACTTGACAGGTCGGCAGTCAATCCCATGCCAAAAAAATAAAAATGTCAATTGGGACGGCGCAAAATAACCAGTACATTCCAAGTGTAATTGTCATATATTAACGTTAAGCTTAGGTGTAAAAAAAAAGGAAGTAGAGGTAGCAAACTAGCACAGGCAGATCAGTTATGGATTGAGTTTTAAATAAACATGTTGCAATTGGGCAAGTTGTGCTTATTTTATCATGTCAGATAGAATTAATGGTGTTACAATCAGAGATGTAGAGAGATGTCTGATTCTACTGCTTGCATTCACAACACTTGTACTGGAAACAGCTGATCAGTCCAATAGGGAAAAATTTTCGGTACTTCAGAACTTACTCAGAAAGTGTGTTTCCGTCTCCTTTGTAGAGCATTTACTCTATTTCAAAAAAGTCAAAACCACCTCAAATATTTGTGAGAACTTAGAATGTTTTTGTTGTTTTCATCAAGCTCTTCTAAATTGATACTCCGTAACGTGCATAAAAAACATTGATGGAAACTCATCTAAGGAACTGTAATCAGGCTTCCTCTACTTTGTAGCTCTTGCATTCTCCCATTCTCTTCAAGCGTACGCCTTGTCTAACTTTAAAAAAATAAAAAAATAATTTCAAGAGTCTATTTCTGAATTTTAGTCCTCTACCTCCTTGTTCTTCCTTGGAGAACTTACTTAAGATCTCCTCACAGCTCCTCTTGATGACTCCTCCACACTCTTTTGCCATAACTTGTTTTTCAACTCTTCAGCACTCTAGCTCCATCTTCATCTCCTGGACACAGAAAAAAAAAACATACTGCAACACTCCCAACTTGCCAAACTCATCCTTTGTGGTTATATTAACCTGCACCTCATTCCACCATCTCAAAAACAGTAAAATAACCTTTACTTCTTCTTCTTTACAATTTAAAGGACATCACTTCCTCCAATAGCCACTTACCTTTCCTCTTCTGCACTGTCCAACCCTGAACCCAGAAGAAACATTTATAATGTCACTCATGTCAATAAACCATTGCAAACTTTCCTAATTGTGCGTAGTTATTACCTGCACAAGGCTATCACACAGGAAAATCTCAACATTGATAACATCACAAATCTCACACTTAGTGAAACTTTAATCTTTTTAAAGAATATGTGGAGCTCCATCCATCCATTTTCCATCATGCTGTCTCCAGCTGTCTTTAGGCGAGAGGCAGGGTACACCCTGGAGAGGTCCCCAGTGCATTGGAGGGTAACACAGAGACAAACAGCCATTCACAAACACTCACACCTAAGGAGAATTTAGAGAAGCCAATTTATGTTTTTGGACTGTGGGAGGAAGCCGGAGTACCCAGAGAGAACCCACGCATGCTCAGGGAAAACATGCAAACTCCATGCAGAAAGACCCCGGGCCAGGAATTTAACACAGGACCATCTTGCTGCAAGACAGCAGTGCTACCCACTGCACCACTAAGCAACCCGCAAATATTCTTTCCCACTCTGAAGCAACCAGCGTGACTGAGAACTTTTATTTAGTCATTCATGACTCCCTGATTTCATGGAGTTTGAAATATGAAGAAACAAAGGAACCTTTATTGTAACATTATTTAAAACAGGAAATGAGAATGCGTTTAACTGATGCCTTTTTTTAAGTCAAAAATGGGAGCAAGAAATCACTTACACACCTAATTTCTTGATGAGTGAGACGGCAGCAGGATTTAGGTTTGTTCTGTTAACACACACAATGTGGAGGATGTTACAGATATAAACAGAAGAGGTTGGAAGTCATTTTTGTGCTCTGTTTTTGTAATTTGTTGTCTCCTCCCAGCTGCCTCCACTCTGGGAATCAGTCCCACCAGCTCCTCATTTCAGTAATCACTCTCCTGGCATATAAACCTCTAGTGCAGAGGTGTGTCCAAAAATGGCCACTTTCCTTCTTGTTATATTTGCTTTCAACACTTGCACAATATAAAGTTTGATCAGTGGCTGTTTTTGTTTTGTAATCTTCTCATTTAAAAGGCGATTGGTGAAAAACCTTAGGGTGGAATGTAGGCCAGAATGTCTGTGCAGGGTGGCCATGCTGGACCTTTTCACTGAGAGGGGAGAGACTGATGAAAACTCACTCACTTCTGACCCTTTATGTCTCTCAATCCTTCCTCTTTCTTTTTTTGCCAAACAAACCACAAATGTCTCCAGTGTTAAGTGTCTTTTTTTTTTTTTTACATTAATATACAATTTGCAGGCTTAAAGATAAAAAAAAAACTGTCCCAGTTGTTATGCTAATCTATTTAAACATGAAACCAGAAATTATTTATCACATCCACACCAGTCAAACGGTCACACAAACATTTCTATATAGAACTGTTTTTATGGCTGCTGCAAATTCATAACCTTATACATTACATATAGTATAAACATTATTCTATGCATTATATAATTTTGGGATTGTGGGAGTTCATGTGAAACGGGTAAATGTGCTATGAATACTATGTAGTTGTTTAATAATTAATATGAACTGCTTCTCCTTAAAAAAATTACATTTGCCTTTTTGGACATGCATCTCCTCTTGCTCTTTTCCCCCATTGAACAGCCTGCCATGTTCACCACCCTTAGTGTTGCATCCTCTTTGTTTAATTTGGATTTTCTCAGGCTTCACTTATTTGGTTGGTTTGTTTTCATATCCATTGATTATGTTTATAACCCCCATTGAGGCTGGTAGCTCATGTACGGATAATAAGCTCTGATAACTGTGAGCAGAATCATCCTAATAGGTAATTTAAACTACTGTGGGAACTACATCAGGTCCAAAAGAGTTACATGAATCGAAGCATGGTGGGTGTGATACACTATGGCAGACAACTCAGTTGTACAGTTTTGTTTGTTTTATATTACTTTTGTTTTACATTACTTTTGTGATGAAGAACATGACTTCCAAACCATGGAAACTTTTTCATGGCTATGTCAAAATGCCCAAGATTTTTTTCTTTTTAAGTTCCTATTTCTTGCAGCCAGTAGGCAAATTTTCAGCAACAACTGTTTGAACCTCGTTTATGTATTGTTAAGAAGCTACCCTTTTAAATGTAGTTTTAGCTTTGGTGATAGCAAGTATTAGCTGTCTAATTAGTGACGTTAGTCCATTGTTTCAGATGTGACAAAATTATGTGAATCCTTCTTGACAAACAAACTCACTGCATTGGCATGTTGTAAAGGCAGTATTGCAGACTTTTAAATGCTAGACTGAGACTAGGTTTCAGCCTAGCATAATTCAACATTAAAACAAAATTGGTCTGCTAGTTATTTATGTGTTAGTAATATTTTCCCTGAAAGGAGTTAAACAAGCTTAATTGTCAATGCTTTGCAGTTACTTCTAGAGAGGTTTTTATTATTTAAGTGTATAAGTATCTAATCCCCCAGTTATTTATGAAAGGCTTTTCTCTTCTTTTTCGGTTTTATTTACAGATGCAGGTGTCTGAGAAGTAAAATGACACAGGGTTCATGCATTTACTGAATAATTTATTTCAATTTTACAGATAATTTAACTGACAAAAGAAAAAAACAAACAACCTGAACATTCTAAAGAGCTCTATTATCATAACAGATCTACCAGGGCTGTCAACTCTCACCAAATGGGCGTGAGACTCTCGCATCTGTATTTTCACAAGCTCACACTCTATATCCCCAATTTTTCACGCTAAAAAACGACGGACATTAAAACTCGACTCCATTCCACTTATATATAAAAATACCATGCTGATAAAATGCTTAGTGCTAAAACACAGGTTCATACCCAGTCTGTATTTTTACACAAGCCCACCTATTCACTGTGCTGACAGCAGCAAAGCTGGACCTTCGCCAGATATTGAAAAAAATTCTGAGCAGTTATTACGAGATAAATCAAATGTTATAAGTTGTATTTATCTTTATGTTTGAATTTAGGACTAATTGAACACGAATATCCAAATACTTAAAGCTTCCAGGTTTCACAAACCCATAGGAAGTCCACAAAAAAGAAAAAAAAAACATTGCATTTTATTTTTCAAAATATCAGCCACCCAAGAAAAGAGTACCGCATAAAAACAGAGAGGATGTGCAGAACAACTCAGTTATCCAAGATTGATAGAGGAACCACAGTGGGAACACAGAGCGGAAAGGGAGAATAAGGAGGAACCAAAGGGATGATCTCATTTTATGATTACTGAATTTATTAATTTATCCTTATTTTGGTTCATTTAATATCAATAAAAACTTAATTTCCATCATATTTTCCAAAATGAAACATCCAGAAAAGTGCTGTCTTGTGTCATGGTGAGTTCTTATAGAATCTACAGCCTCCTAGAAGGTCTGAATTATTTAGATGTTTTGTCAATTGTAAAAAAAAACAAAAACATGCTTTACTTAAATTCTCTGAAAATCACCAGAATAAAGAAAAATAATGTATATTGTGTGAAAAATGTTCCCCATAACTACACATTACTTATTAGGGTTGTCAAAAGTATCAATACTCAAAAAAAGTATCGATACTGA